TATATATATATATATATATATATATATATATATATATATATATATATATATATATATATATATATATTTCAGTCTAATGTCATTAATTATAAATTATATAAATTGTGTATGTATTAAATTAATATAACTTTTATTGTTAGCGGATGAATGTCAATCCAGATGGATAAGATTGAGAGAACGCTATTCACGCGAAAAAAAGCAACGTCAAGAAAAAACAACAACTGGAAGTGGAGCATCAAAAAGAAAAACATTCGAATTTTTCGAGAATATGCAATTCCTGGAACGATTTGTTAAGAGGAGAAGGTACGATTAATATGTAATTATCAAGAAATTAGGATAATATAGCCTTTTTGTACTTTAAGAAAAATAAAACCTAAATAGTACAGGACTCTAGAGAGACATCTTAAAAACTTCCTGAGAATATCTACATTGTATATTGGACAATATTAGAAAGTATATTTTTACATATTCTTAACATTATTTCTTTCTTTTCTAGAACGATGACCAACATATATAAGGAAAAGGAACCTCCAGTGGCAAGATCTTCCATTATTCAAAAGTAACACATTAATCAATTTTCATATCAAGAGGAAATTATATATTTGCAAATTATTAACGAAACCTCTGTTATTTCGTTTCAGAAATTTTGGCTTTCATGATGAAAAGGTGAATAACTTATTCTCCATAAACATGGGTACTTTTATTGAACAATCTTCAGCAAAGAGCAATATAGATGTACCTCGCAACACGTACACACAGGGTCAGTATTTCCATAAACGTCAATTTATGTGTAATTTTTTATTTTTAGGGAATTTATTTTATAAAAAGTTTTCATACTCTTTTTTTATGTATAAACACACAGCCACACTATAATGACATGTTTAAAATTCTGTTTGTAATACAGACTCATTAACTTCGGACTTGCATACAAATGCATTGGATATCTCTTCCGTATCTGCTTTAAGTGTACCTCGCTATACGCAGAACAAAGATGTAATTGGACAACGGATACAGTCAAAAGGAAAATCCCAGACAGATATTCTAGAAAATACAATTGGTAAAGTTACTTCTTTACTAGAAAACAGATATGTTTCTTCATCGCAGACATTTCTAAAGCCAGAAGTAGGAGAAGATTTGGCTTTTTGTCAACTAATATTTTTTTTGCTTATTAATCTGTCCGAAGATACAAAAGTAGAAAAAAAGCAATATTACGTATTTTATACGATATGTAATCATTATCTTATCCTAGACAGCAGAGACTTTCGAAAAAACATCCTAAGAACGTCCCTACAACCGAAGAATATCTTTAGAACGTTCTTTGGACATTATGTGCTGGAATACGATATGTTAATTTATTTGCGACATGGGATAATTACCAGGACATATTATATTTATTTATTTTATGCAATATATTAGAAAAAGTACAATGACATATTTGTTTTTTATGCGACATTATTGGAAGTAGTACATGTTATGTTTATTTATGTTACGCAATATATAATTACAAGTAGTGTGAAATATTCTGCTAATTTCTGTTATTCGTTATGTAATTGAAAGTGATATGACAGTGTACAAGTACGAAATAATACAAGTAGTATATGTATGTTTATTTTATGCAATATGTTAGAAAAAGTATAATGACATATTTGTTTTTTATGCGACATTATTGCAAGTAGTACAATGTGTTATGTTTATTTCTTTTACGCGACATTTAATTACAAGTAGTATGATATATTCTGTTAATTTCTGTTATTCGTCATGTAATTGAAAGTGATACGACAGTGTACAAATACGAAATAGTACAATATAATATAGTATATGTATATTTATTTTATGCAATATGTTATAAAAAATGCAATGGCATATATTTCTTTTTTTATGCACTGTAAAATCATTTTATTACAAGAATATATATTTACATAAATAAATAATTTAACATTTTGAAAAACATTTTACATTGGATCATCGTAGTGTTGTCCTCTTCTTACATATTCATATTGCCACGGAATTTCACCAGGTGGTGTCAAAAAATAGTCTGCCAGTTTGTCTCGTAGTTTACAAGGTGTACAAGTATGAAATGCGGATTTGAGAAAACAGATGGCGCACCAATGCAGTGTGTGGTATAAAGATTTGACATTTTTGCCATTTTGTTGCCATCAACAAGTGTCAAACGCGCATGAGTGATAAATTGAAAAAGTGTTTGCATAGTGTTGTGTTGCTGTGTTTAATGTCGAAATTTATATCAAATAAAGAGCATTCGCGGACAGCATTAATTTTTTGTTTTCATTTGAAGAAAACTGCTGCTGAATCATACCGATTACTTCGAGAAGCTTATGGTGAACATGCTGCATCGCAAGATACGTGTGAACGATGGTTTCGGCGTTTCAAAAGTGGTGATTTCGATGTTGCAAACAAGGAACACGGAAAACCGCCAAAAAGATATGAAGATGTGGAGTTGCAAGCATTGTTGGACAAAGATGATTCACAAACACAAAAACAACTCGCAGAACAATTGAAAATTAGTCAACAAGCTGTTTCCAATCGCCTACGAGAGATGGGAAAGATTCAGAAGATCGGCAAATGGGTACCACATGAGTTGAACGAGAGACAGATGGAGAGGCACAAAAACACATGTGAAATTTTGCTCGAACGATACAAAAGAAAGTCGTTTTTGCATCGTATCGTTACTAGGGATGAAAAGTGGATTTATTTTGAGAATCCCAAGCGCAAAAAATCATGGGTAGACCCAGGCGCACCATCCACATCGACCGCAAGACCGAATCGCTTTGGCAGGAAGACGATGCTCTATGTTTGGTGGGACCAGAAGGGTGTGGTCTATTATGAGCTGTTAAAGCCTGGTGAAACGGTTAATACCAAACGCTACCAACAACAATTGATTGATTTGAACCGTTCGCTGCTTGAAAAACGACCAGAATACCAAAAGAAGCAAGACAAGATCATTTTTCTCCATGACAATGCTCCATCACATACGGCAAAACTGGTTCGCGACACGTTGGAAGCACTTAGCTGGGAAGTTCTACCCCATGCGGCTTACTCACCAGACTTGGCTCCTTCCGATTACCATTTGTTTGCATCGATGGGTCATGCACTTGCTGAGCAGCGCTTTGATTCGTACGAAAATGTGAAAAAATGGCTCGATGAATGGTTCGCGGCAAAAGGGGAAGATTTTTACTGGCGTGGTATCCATAAATGCCCGAAAGATGGAAAAAATGTGTAACTAGCAATGGAGCATACTTTGAATAAACCTCTTTTTATCATTCTTCCAAATTTAACGTGTTTTTTTGGAAAAAATTTCATACTTGTACACCTGGTATATACTATTGCAATCGCATTATGCTTCGAAGTAGGACGTATATCGCTAAGTGCGCTTTCACCATTACGTCGCCACTCTCCAAGTATTATGTTCCTAGAATCCTCTGAATCTACAAAATGTGGAGGACAATATATTCTGTCCTGTGTTTGCACCAATTCCTCTTCAGATTTAATAAAATTATGCAAACATACAGTCGCCATGACAATCATGTCATCATATTTTGGATGCATATGAATTGGTTTTCGATAGATTCTCCATCTTGATGACAAAATACCAAATGTATTTTCGATAGTGCGTCTTGCTCTGCTTAATCTGAAAATCAATAAAATACGTGATAAGATTGTAATAAGTTAAAATAATAGGATGTTGTAATAAAAATAATAGGCTAACTGCTGTAATTGAATATTTTTTTCTTTTCTTCAAGTACTTTTCCTGAGTAAGGTCGCATCATGAATGTACTGAGTGGGAACCACTATCTCCAATAAAAAAGTATGGTAATCTAACGTTGCTTCCGGGAAGATTTGCAGTCCCTTTGGGAAGATTCAATGTTTCTTCTTTCAATGCCGAATAAATGTCAGAAGAAGTAAAAATACCATCATCACTATTTCCACCATACGAGCCAATGTCAACTAATGTAAAATTATATTTGTAATCACATGCAGCCATCAGCACAATACTAAATGTCTTTTGTAATTAAAGAATAAGCTTCCGGATTTTGGTGGACATTGTATTTCCACATGTTTTCCGTCAAAAGACTCGGCGCAATTAGGGAAATTCCAGTTTTTCAAGAAACCGCTGCAAATATTTTTCCAATCTTCTTCTTTTGGCAAGCGAACGTAAATCGGCAATACCTAAGTTATCACTTTACAAGTTTCATGGATGATTTTTCGAACTGTTGACTCTCCACATCTGAAAGCCAGTGCTAGTGATAGTATTTGATCCCCGGTTGCTAAATACCTGCAGAAAATAATGTCGATACACAGATAGAAACAAATACTTGGCATTAAACATTTTGAAAAATATTGTTTGACACATATGTGCATTTAATTCTTATAAATTGAACAGTTTATAATAAAATAAGTAACTACCTTAAAGTTATAATCAATCGTTGTTCTGGACTAAATGCTCTTTTACTTGATTTTGTTAAATATGACTTCGCCTTTTCTAACAAAAACTTGAAAGTTTCTCCTCTCATTCTGGTATATCGAAAAAATAAATCTCTATCATTGTGTTTCATTTGTTGAAAAAGGTGTTCATAATCTCCATATAAGAGGCGTTCCATATTAATGGGTCTGACTCATCATCTCCGATTATATCTCTTTTATTATTTGTTTTTATATACAAAACCAGTAGGCATAATTGTAAAACTGATAAAATGAGAACATTATCATCATCCATATATATGGGCATTGATACACAGTCGTTTATAACATAAAAAATATATATACATGTATATATGTATATACCTTGTTCCTAAATTTTTACACATATAAGTCGCGAAATTAAACGGAAAAATACAAAAATATTTCTTTAACACTTACTTTATTTTATTCTATACAGTCGTGTAATTCATAAAAATGTTCTCCTTTTGTCATGTCGCACTTATAAGATTTGCCAGATCCCTTAACTATAAAGTTTTTATGCGCACATGTGTGTGCGTTACTGCGTGTCATGCTGTGCGTTATGCGCTCTGCGTTATGCGTTCTGCAAAACTGTGTGCTTCCCGCTTTAGCTATAGCTATAGGTCGGGAGAGAGATGGCAGCTTGTACGTCTGCACTCTTCCATCGCTCGAGCTTGGCCGAAGCGAGTGAGTCCCAGATGCGTACATGACAAATGGACATATCCAATCATATATCGTTGTTTATAGAGTCTCTAGAATATCCCTAGGCATACGGCGTTGTGGTTGACTGTGTCCGTTTGTCAATGTGCGCATCTGGGACGCTTCTGCCGAAGCGCCAAGCGCTATAGTTTGTGACAGGCAGCCCACACGTACACAATTCTTCGCTTGTGTGCGCTGCGCCGAACGCACTATAGTTACGCGTACTTGGTCCTACATGTGGCAAGTCTGCCTTCGGTGCGGTGCGGCAAGATGTAGGAGCGCAGCGGTATAAATATAGACTTGGTTTACATCGTGCATTTGATACGCGTACTAAATAGTAACTTTCTATTAGATAATCTTAACATCGACGATATAAACAACAGTATATTAAGCTGGTATAATACTCATCAACAAAACATTATATTGATTGAATGCGTTGATATACATTGTCGATATTAAGATTATCTAATAGAAAGTTACTATTTAGTACGCGTATCATGTGCACGATGTAAATCAAGCCATAGACAGTGGTGCGTTGCCTTCCAATCGCCACGCGTAGACATTCGCGCGCTGTATTACTGGGCCGCGCTGTGACTAGAGCGGTCCGTCCTCTACCATTCAGCATACGCTTTTCCTTAATCTTTTGCAATTAATTTCTCGATTATTATTACGAATATCGGAAAACGGTATAGGACTTTTATTTTAACCCGCTCTATGTTCTCACGAGAGCTTTGTAGATTGTTCTGAGACACCCTGTATAATGACAGGGGTATATAGAACGAGAAACTTGGCAACAAAGTCCGCTCTCTGTTAATGAGAACTGTTTCGGCGACCGACAAGTATGTGCACACGGGAGCGGTGCACTTGGACACGGTGCATTTGGACACAGCCAATCACAGCACTGTGTGATTAGAGACATTTGTAGGGTCCCTTGGAACAGCGATTTGTGATTGGACTGTGTTCAATTGCCCCGTCTCCAACTGATATACACCCTGTGCACACGGCCAATACATAGACGGCGTTAGTATAGCGACGATAAGAGACAAATCATGCAATTAGTAATTACATAAATACATTTAAATACAAGATACATTTATATTAAGTAATTAATTACAAAGTTAAAGATACTTTATCATTTGGTATTTAAATACTGTATATTTAAATAAGATACATATTTAAATATGTATCTCAAATACGTTAAAATACGTATCTGCCCAACCCTAACAATTAGTCAACCGTTGTGTTTGGCTCCGTTCAGAGAATATGGATAACGATTGGATAATCCACTTTTAGAAAATACATGTGATTAATAATCTGAAAGTTTATATCAGTCATAGATAATTTTTACTCAACAATTATACGGTTGTTGTATTCGCTAGATATAATCTTTGTTAAACGTAAACAATTTATCAGCTCGTTCTCTTTTCGACAATGAAATCTGTCTACTTTGTTTTAAATGTAGGAATTACAATTAAAAATATTCTTGACAATTTCTTATTTCTTATTTTTAAACATTGTGTTGTGGAAAATTGTTTCAGATATTATTCGTCCGGTTATCCTGACAGTCTCTTGGAAGCTGTGGAACAATATCAACCAAAATGTATATTTTTATTTGATCGTGGATCATCCTCTAATGCTATGGATTCCAGCTTGTCCGCATTATTTAATAATGATGAGGGATAAATTTAAATTATTATGTTTCTATTATTGTTTATTTTACTATGAAATGTCGCTTGATGGAATAGCGTACATAAATATGCATTATAATTTTAATAATATTGTACTCATATGACTGTAAATGTTAAATTAAATATTAAATAAACATTAAATCTATAGTCGCAAATCAATTTTATAATTGTATTGCGACGTTTTTGACGAATAATTCATAAAGGCAGACAGTCGCTTGTCCGCCGTGTCGACAAATTGCCGCCGGCATCCACCTCACAATCACGAAAAACGCGAGATGTTGGGCGCCAGGTGCGGAAAAAAAGCCACACCACCTCACGAACGGCTATCACAAAAAGAAAGAGGATATTCGAATCGTGGTCAGGAGACCGGGAGACCGTACGGAATCGATAACTCGATTGAATTGGGAGCGGTGCACTTGGACACGGTGCATTTGGACACAGCCAATCACAGCACCGTGTGATTAGAAACATTTGTAGGGTCCCTTGGAACAGCGACTTGTGATTGGACTGTGTCCAATTGCCCCGTGTCCAACTGATATACACCCGATTGAGTTTAGAGTGGGCGACGGGATGGTTTCTTTGGGATGGCCGGAAGGGAAGAGAAATGGCACCACAAATCCACGATAACGTATGATTTATTCAAATGTAACTCCCTCGCCCCGATAGTGGTTGCGATACAGTTTGTCTAATCTTGCGATATCGCTACCGCGCGGTTCTCATGATCCCAGCGAGGTCCAATCCTTCGTCTCGAGCGCGAACGCTTGCGGCCTGAGAAAGGTCTCCTCGAGCAAACCTACTCTCGCGACCACTTAACAGACGGGACGGCACACTTTACGTGATACGACGACGGCACTAAAATAATTAGAGCAGGTGGGTATATTCTTACAGAATACGGCAGCCTCGCTCTGCGTTCTGGCCGGTCCTGTGCGGTCCTTATCCTCACCGGTTCCCCTTGCTCACTCGTACACTGGCTGGCTCGCTTGCTCGCTCGCTCGTTCGCTCGGTCTACGTCTCGCTCACTTACCAAAAAAAAAAAAAACGGAAAGACGGTGGAACTCCCGACCCCTTTCTCCACTTTCAGGCGGTAACAATTTTGTACTTGCGATATCGATCGTCGGAATGCTTCACTTCGACAGCGGTAGCGACCATAGTTCGAGATCGATTGATTCGCCGGTCGTTCCTTCTCGATCCAAATTTTCAGGTGATACTCTCGGGGTCGCTTCTCCCTTCGACTCGAATCCGTAGTTTTGGCCAAACGGCATTCAACAGCCTGGTTGTTGTTGTTTCAAGGAATTAATTGTTTCGAGACTCTTTCGCTCTAAATGATGTGCCTTCTGGCCTTAATCGAAGCACACTATTTATTCTTGCCGGTGCCATTGCTTCTCTAAGCGGTATTGTGCTCGGCTTCAGCTGGACAATGCTTCTTGCTCCTCGTCGCGGTGCTTCTCAGACGTCAGTCTGAAAAAGTAAACACCGCTGACGATATCGGATCTTGACACGACAATTGTGTGATTCGTGCTGTCGAATATTTGGGAACGATCGAATATTCAAGAGCGGTCGAGAATTCATGAGCGATAGAAATTTCGAAAACGATTACTTGATTGAGAGCGATGAACGGGCAGCCGGTGATCCTCCATCCCACGTCGTCCTTGGATTCCTTTTGTTCTGGTAGCCGGCAAGGAAAGCTTAGGGTCACAATTTCGGGGACGCGATAATCAAACCATCTTAATCATACCATATCAAACCATAATTAATCCAAACAAAAAAAAATTTTAAATCCAAGAAAATCCAAATTAAACAAATTAAATTACTAAATTTTGAAAGAAACTTTTAAAAAATACTATTTAAAACAATAGTGTTGTTTCATCAAATGATATGATTTTCTTGCACGAAATAAAAGATTTTATATTTCATCATTTAAAAAAAATAATATTTCGTTTAAGAATATAAATTTTAATGAAACAAGAAAACCACAAAATTAAACAAGTACGAATATTAAATTTAAAATTAGTATTTTCTCCGAAAAACGGTATAAGAAATATAAGAAATATGAAAATAATAAAACAAATTCTAGTATTAATGCCTGCCACTAACAAGTACTATTAATGTGAAACATTACTGAATTTGAAATACAAATAACAAAAATAACTAGTAAATAAGTAAAAAGATATTATATTATATTCGTAATATTTTTGAAACATTGCTGCAATATTGTTAAAATAATATCGCAAATTAATGTCACTGCAATGTTTCTGCAACATTGCACTGCAATATGCAATCTTATAAAGTTGTAGCAATGTTGTTGCAAGCTTCTGTGTTTAGCAAGTATTGCTGAGATTCGAATCTGAGACCTCTGGTTCTTGAGTCGTTCACCTTACCTATTACACCACTGTCACTTTGATTAAGGGACGCTTCGTATTGTATATATACATATATATGGTATCCATGTACGAAAACATATAATTTATTTAAAAGAAGAGAATAGATCCTTTTAAATGTAAAAAGTATATTTAAAAAATATTTACTTATTTAAAAAGTAAGTAAAATACTAATAAATTATTTTGTAAATTTAAATAAATTGTTTTCTGATAATAAAAGAAACTTAAATTTGAAACACAAAAAAGATATTTTTAATATTAGAAAATAATTTATTTAGATTTATAAAATTATTTACTTGTATTTTATTTACTTTTAAAACAAGCAAATATTTATTTAAACACAGTTTTTACATTTAAAAAACTAATTGTCTTCTTGTAAAGAAATCATTTCCTTATTCTTATATACAGATATTTTAAATCAAAGAAATCATTTTTTTATTTATCTAGAACAGTGCCCGGAGTTTTTTCCACATTTCGGGCAGATTTCAGATTAACGCCTACTACTCCCTAGCCTAGCCTAGCCGTCGAGCGGGGAGCGGCTGCGGGGAGAGTAGTAGGCGTTAACTCTGAAATCTACCCGAAATGTAGAAATAATTCCGGGCACTGATCTAGAAATTCATAATTTTACAGCTTATAGAAATATCATACTAAGAATCATTGATAATTACTTATTTTCAGTATTAAAAATACTGGATAATAAGTAATTATCAATGATTCTTAGTATGATATTTCTACAAAGGTATTTTACAAATTTAAAAAATATTTTTTTGTATTTATTACATATTTTCTAATATCTGACAAATATTTCTTTAAATTAAGAAATTATATTTAACACAATATATTTCTTTGATTTAAAGCATTTTTTTAATGTACATTACCAATTTAAATTTCGATTTTCTTATTTCTTCATTAATTTAATAAATAATTATATTTTTTTTTTCATATGTAATATTTATAGAGATATTTACAAAATATTACTACAAATTAATTTTTTGTTCACATATTGTATAAAATATTGTATAAAATATTTAGATATTTAGCCTATATTTTAATAATATTTTAAATAAATATTTTGATACTTCTCCCTTTTTATACCCTTGTAGAAATATCATACTAAGAATCATTGATAATTACTTATTTTCAGTATTAAAAATACTGGATAATAAGTAATTATCAATGATTCTTAGTATGATATTTCTATAAGGGTATTTTACAAATTTAAAAAATATTTTTTTGTATTTATTACATATTTTCTAATATCTGACAAATATTTCTTTAAATTAAGAAATTATATTTAACACAATATATTTCTTTGATTTAAAGCATTTTTTTAATGTACATTACCAATTTAAATTTCGATTTTCTTATTTCTTCATTAATTTAATAAATAATTATATTTTTTTTTTCATATGTAATATTTATAGAGATATTTACAAAATATTACTACAAATTAATTTTTTGTTCACATATTGTATAAAATATTGTATAAAATATTTAGATATTTAGCCTATATTTTAATAATATTTTAAATAAATATTTTGATACTTCTCCCTTTTTATACCCTTGTAGAAATATCATACTAAGAATCATTGATAATTACTTATTTTCAGTATTAAAAATACTGGATAATAAGTAATTATCAATGATTCTTAGTATGATATTTCTATAAGGGTATACAGGGTATCTCACACTCTCCTCCGGGTATTTTGTGGGAACGTAAAATGGGTTGATGTGAACATAAAAGTCGATATTCGCAATAATTATCGAGATATTAATTGTAGAAAATTTGTGAATGATCATGCAGAATATGATAAATGAGTTATAGTAGCGACGATTGCCGTCGTGTACTTATACTTTAGATCAAATTGAACAAAAAAGTCCTCTACAATTTTCCAAATAATCACATAGATTTTTAATTATTAATTAAAGAAGATTATTGCACAATTTTGCGTGATAATGCACTCATCTTCTTTAATTAAGAATAAAAAATCCATGTGATTATTTGCAAAATGGTAGAGGACTTTTTGTTCAATTTGACCTAAAGTATAAGTACACGACAGCAGTCATCGCATAACTCATTTACCATATCCTGCATGATCATTCTCAAATTTTCTACAATTAATATCTCGATAATTATTGCGAATATCGCAAAACGGTATGGGACTTTTATGTTCACATCAACCCATTCTATGTCTCCACAAAATGCCCGGAGGAGAGTGTGAGACACCCTGTATAAAAAAATGTTTATAAAATATTTATATAATATTTAAAAAAAATTATTTGAAATAAATATTTATAAACATTTAT